ACAAAGACTCCATGAGGGAAAATATACACAAAAAGGCTATCTCGATATAATAAGTCAAAATATAAACAAGTAGGTATATTAAAAGGAAACTGGAATGGCTATTGCCATAAGACAAGAAACTAAAGACTCTTGAACCTGGACTAGAAGCAAGAAAGGAGTTGACAAGAGTGAAGAAGCCTTCACTCTTGTCTCTATATATACTATCTAACTAGGGGCTACGTGGCGACGTTCTATAGGACCTCCAATATGTGTTGACTTTGTAGGACACATGCCTTGACTTACAAGGCAAGTTTTTCTACGTGTGGGCCACATAGTTAGCTTGATCTTCAAGCTAACAACATGTGTGGCACATGGCCAACTTGTTGACCACGTTTCTAATCCAAAAAGTCAATTAAAGACACCTATGAAGTCAAAGCAGCGTCTAGGAAGTTTCTAAGAAGCTTCTATATTAAATATTATAGAATTAACTTACTTTTATCTACTTTTACTTACTTCTACCTATTTCTATATGTAATTATTAGCTTACATGATTATGGCCGTAACAACTATGTAAAAGGATGATATTTGGAAGTGGAAGGAAACAATAGCTTAAGAGTATTAGAGCCTTATTAACAACAAGACTTAGACTTTGACACCATTATCAATAAATATAAAATCAATTGATTGTAAATAGATTAATAAAGGACTACAAGGCAAGACTTATTACAAAAAATTATACACAAAAAGAAGGTATTAATTACAATGAGACTTTTTTTCTAGTAGCAAAAATGATCTTAATTTGTATAGTTCTTGTATTAATTATAATTAAAGATTTGGAATTTCATCAAATGGATGTCAAGACAAAATTCTTGAATGAAGATTATGAAGAACTGAAAGATTCATAAAATCTACCTCAATCAGCAAAAATATATAGAAAATATCTTTAAAAGATTAGGCATAAAAGATTGTAAACCTTTGGCTATATCTTTGGATTCTAATAATAAATTTTCAAGAGACATAAGTCTTTAGATTTTTAAAGAAGTTGAAGTAATCAAAGAGATTTCATACCAAAATATAGTTGGCTATTTAGTCTACACAATGATAGGCACTAAGACCAATATTTCCTATCTAGTGGAAATTATTAGTGAATATATAGCAAATCCTAGCCCATAATATGGGATAGTAGTGAAAAACATCTTGGAATATCTTTAAGGTACATAAGATCATTTACTATAATATAATGGAAGTTCTTTGAGTTTTTAAGTAGTTAATTATTATGAATGAGACAATGAAAGAGGTATTAATATATAATGTTTGATAATTTGTTATAAATTCTTATTGGCTTGTGGTGCAGCTAATTGAAATAATAAGAAGTAACCAACAATCACATTGTCTACCACTGAAGCAAAGTATATGGCAGCTACTTATGCTATAAAGAGGGCAATTTGGCTACAAAGGATTTTTTAAAGGCATTGAATTTTCACAAGATGGTCCTTTGACTATTTTCAGTAATACCAAAGTTGTAATTTTTTTTCAAGGAATCTTAATTTATACTAAGTATGTTAAAATTCAACATGACTATGTTTGTGAGAAGATTAAGAGTGGCAATATCAACTTAGTTTTTTGCGAGACTTAAGACATGATTGTGGATATTTTAATCAAAGGTGTAACTCGAAAAATATATTATAAATTCAAAAAGATGATGGATATCATCAAATTAAGTTAATCTAATATGTCATTAAATAAGACTAATAATAGAGTATATAATTCTTATTAGACATAATATAAAATAGGCAATTGATATCTAGATTAAAAAATGAAGAGAACTCATATCCAAGAGATTTAAGACATTTTTCTTTTATTTAGTGAATTTGATTTTTTTCAAATTTCGCATGCTTATTAATTGCTTTTAGATTAAAATGAAAGTAAAATTTTAGTTGAAATAAATTATTTAATTAATATTTATTGAATTTTTAAAATATCTATAAGAATTGATTAAGATTTATTTAAATTTTTTTTGGATTTATTTAAGATTTGATTTAGGATTTAGATTTTGGTTAGAATTTAATTAGAATTTTGATTAGAATTTAATTAAAATTTGGTTAGATTTTCATTAGAATTAATTTAAGATTTTATTAAAGCTTGTTTGCGATTTATTAGAATTTTTTAGAGTTTCATTAGAATTTATTTAAAACTATAATAAGATTTGATTTGGATTTTTTTAGGATTTATTTAAGATTTATTTAGGATTTCTAATTTTAATATTTTAAAAAGATTCTTTGTTATCTCTTTAAGATTTTTATTTTAAAAATTCCTTAAGGTTTTTTTTTTTTTTTTTTTTTTTTTTTTTTTTTAAGTTTAACTTATAATTTTCTTATATTTCTTTAATGATTTCTTTTATACTTCTTTTGAATTGGATAAAGTTTAATTATGTTTGTTAAGTTTTAATTAGAATTTAATCAAAATTCTATTAGATTTTTTAAGATATTTTTGATGTGATCTTCTATTTTCTTCCATAGTTAAATGCCTAATGCATTCTTTAGCTAAAATTTACATTATATCATAATAGAACTCCAACTCCGTTGTCGTATTACGTATTGTTTTGCCCAAGAATGCATCAGGCATCTAATTGTGAAAGATGAGATTGTGTTTCACAAGTAGCCAAGAAACCCTAATAGGTTTTGCCCATACAAGGAGAATATAATAGACTGTGAGAAAACCTCCAAAAATTGCACTGAAGTCACTCGGTCGCCAACATGAAAAGTGAAGCAGAAATCCTAGCAATGATTTCTCCCTTTCCAACCATTAACTTTGTCTCAAAATTGGTATATAATTTGATCTTCAAGTCCTTCAACACCAGGCCAATTTTCACCTTAATTCGACTGATAGATCTTCAAATATCATAGAAACCCTATCCAACTTCAAACTGCCACCTTCCAAAACCATCTTGTGTTAAAAACTAGATATCTCTAAACCACGCTATTAGATTATCACAAAATTTTGTATATTTAGCACATCCAATAATCCAAATAGTGTCAAGTTTTTAACTATAGCTGTCACACCAATTGCACGAACTAGTCAAAATTGCTAGCCCTAATTATATTATATAAAACCCAAATCACTAATAAAAACCTTGACTTTGAACAATAATTGTTAAGTCTTTCGAAACTCTCTCAAAATGATTTTTATGTCTTCGGAAAGAACTTTAAGCTAGCTCTCAAATCTTAACCTCCAATCTTCAAATGACCCCCTAACTTGCCCTCAGCAGACATTTTAGTGACCAGAGGTCTGATTTCGACCATGTCTCACAAATAGTCGACCCCCAAGTATCAATCTAACTTATCCTAAGGATTTTTTAGACTAATTCTACCCTTAACTTGACCCTAGTATCAACCATACCAACCATTTACCTCTTCTACCTTGATTTTATTAATTTATGGTCTTTCTAAGGTAATAGAAGAGTCTCTACAACCTAAAAGGTAAAATTATTAACTAACCTTCAACCTACTAACTATTAAGATAAGAAAATAACCTAAGAGGCTTTTATAAAAGCCATGTTTAGATACCTCAAATTATAATTGAATTAAGATAATTAGATATTAATTAGAAATTCAATTTTAATTATAATTTTACTATACATCACGACACCATGCTCCAGATAGAGAGACAATAGAAAATTTTATTAACAACATATCCAAAATGCACACATAACCTCCCCCCCCCCCCCCTCCCCCCTTAAGTATATCTTTATCAATCAAAGATTTGACCACCCTACCTTATACAATCACTAGGAAATAAGATTGAGTTTGGCTAGCCCTACAAGTGCACAATGTATAGAACAAGAGCTATAGGAGGAAGTAGATGCCTTCTTAGAAGTTATTAATATTTAATTGCCATACCAAAAATTAGACAATGTTGATGGCTATGAGGCTAAAGAAGAATTACTTCCTCTACCACCTTAATGAATACTTTGTCAAGCATTAACAACCTAAGTGCAATGCTTCAATGCTTCTGCTCCCAAGCTTATTTCAACCCAACTCTCAAAATCTACGCCATAATGGCAGCAACAGAGAAATCTAACCATGCTCTCTTTTGACTTTTGATAGTTCTTTTGGTAGTAGGTCAACATAAGAGATACTATTAAACAATAATATAGGTAGAGAGTGGTACATTTACAGGCCAGGAGTAGACAAAAATCAAGATCCTTGCCGCCCTAACAAGAGAAAGGAACTAAACTCTAAAGCTAGGATCATAATAGCATGTTTTCATATGATTTGATTCCTTTTCATCTAGTGCAATACATAATATACAGCCTTTTGGAGTTAGACACAAGTAGAGTTTTTTGCTCACATGGTAGAATACTCGCTCAGCATGCAAAAAATACGAATAAGCAATTTATCAATACCCTACATTTCTATAAATGTAACAAGTTACAATTCTATTACTGTAACACTGTTATTCTTTTTGCTACCACTCCGCTTTTAAACTCTTCCTCTTATATCATTCTATCTGCATTCGCAAGCCAACGCAATGCCCGTGCAAATGTCATCGTCGTAGACTCCTGTGCACATTCCAGCCTTGCTTATCATCTGAATCGGCCCTAATTCTTAACTGCTTGACTAAGCAACAAATCTGCTGTTTATAATGTTGAATAATCGGAAGCAATTCAGCACTGGTGCTTTGCCTGCTCGATCACCATTTCAAGAACAGAGCAAGTCGCAGTGGTGAACTGTGCACTGTACGATCTTCCTGCTTTAGTCAGCAGTACAACGACTGGAAGGCCTCTACATATCCTTAACTAGTACCGCGTTGCTAGGTTTCCATGCTAGACATGAGCCTAGATTGATTTGTTCAACGCTGTTCAAGTGGGGTTGTGAAAGGTTTGAGCGTCAAATTGTTTTCGTTATAGTAAATAATTCATCGCACCGCTCTATGACTCCGCAGTGAAAGTTGTGTCCAAGCTTCCTTTTCGAGATCATTATGTCTCGAAAATTATTGGATCCAAGCTCCGTGGAATACAGTGCAGTTGAGCAGACGCGATGCAATTCCTCAACCTTCGCGTTTCATCGACTCGGTGGATGATCTCTTCGACAATGCGGACATCTTCGTATATAAACTGCGGTTGGAGGGGCAGACGGGCTACCCCGCTGATTGCAGCTAGTCTTTTCCCCTAGTGTTAAACGTTTCGATCACTGGTGCTGCATCAATGGCGAGTTCTTCATGCAGGTATTTCTTGCCTCAGAGATGCACAGCAGCCAGCTCTTCTTGCGGTTCCCATAAGTTCAGAAGTTGTGGCAAGGATGATTTTGGTTGCAATGCAGAGACCTTGTCGAACGGAATCCTTGGTTGTGTTGAACAATGATGAAAATTTATTCACAGTCCTCCTCCTGGATGCAGATTCAGATTCGTGAAAGCTCGCCATCTTCTCTGTCACGTGGTTTTTCTGGTCTATGCGCTACAGGGGTCACACGTACACTGTGAACGTGTGACTGCTCTGACTGGCAGCACGGCTTCTCACTCACCAAGGGCATTTGCAGGAGATGTGTCTCGTAATTATTCCTTGTCTGAGGACTTCCGAAGGATATCCATTTTACGGACCATCTTTCGATCCATTGCCGACTTCTTGGAATTCCCAGGTATAAATGTAGGTGACAAGAATATTGAGCAGGATCGGTCGAGAAATCTCGACAACCCTTCTGAAGACGATATCGAAGTACCAGAGAAGTTTATCGATACATCAGTCGCCGAATACATCTCCAGCGCCGACAATGAAGAGTATGTCCTCTGTTTTGGACCAAACCAACCACTGCTTTCACGTTGTTTAACTTTTTTGAACTTCAATGTTTCGGTTAGTCATAAATTTCCAGGCATTCATTTTCGCAGAGATCAGGCTGAGGGTTCGGGTGACGACGCAGTTGGCACGCCACATTTGCTCATGCCAGGGGACACGCCATACACATGTAAGTCCGGGAACTACATTGACGACTGCTGGTGGTGTGATCCAAATTGGCAAGTCCGTCGCCAGGCGCTGGCAAACTGCGTAATTGGCTTTGGACAGAATGCGACAGGAGGAAAGAACGGCAAACTATATGTCGTCACCTCCAATAAAGACGACATCAAGAAACCGGAAGCGGGAACTTTGCGTTTTGGCGTGACGAGATCCGAGCCTCTATGGATAATCTTCAATGGGAGCATGACCATCAGGCTGGCAGGGGAGCTCGTCATGACCAGCGACAAGACCATCGACGGGCGCGGTGCAGAGATCCACCTTGTGGGATCGTCTCAAATCACCATCGAGGAAATCTCAAACGTGATCATCCATGGGATTCACATACATGACATCATCTCCTCTGGCCCCCATCACATTCTCACAGCGCCCTCGCAGCACTCTCTCCGAGCTAAGACCACAGGTGATGCTATCCAAATCAAGCAATCGCGTCACGTCTGGGTTGACCACTGCTTCCTATCGAAGGCCGCCGATGGCCTTGTCGACGGAACCAAGAACTCGACGTTCATTACAGTCTCGAATTGTTACTTTGAGAAACACAATAAGGTACTAGGAAATGAACAACACGTGGCTTTTTCGAGACTTTCTAGTCATTGTCTTCTCGAGTTGTCTATTGTGCGGACGAAAAGTGACAAACACGGATTTTCTGGGCTAATTATAGTAGAATGTGTGATACAGGTGATGTTGTTTGGAGCCGCTCCTGAGGATGACTTCGACAGGAACATGCAGGTTATCGTCGCTTTCAACAGATTCGGACCTGGCCTTACTCAGAGAATGCCCAGGTTTGGGTCAAAGTTCTCTGCTATTTGAACAGCCGCAGTGAACATTCTGGCTAAATGTCCGTGTCCATGGCTTATTAGATCGATTTGCGAAGTGGAGACCTGCTGTGATCGTCGGCCTCTGGTTGCGAGAGTAGTTCAGTTGGGGTTGTATATAGCAAACTTCGGGCAGCAATCAAACCTTGCGTCAGTGATCCCTATGCCTGTACCCTTGCAGATGCCGCTACGGGAACTGCCATGTTGCAAACAACTTCTACACCGACGGGTGGGGTTTGTATGCCATCGGTGGTAGCGAGGACCCAACCATTCTGAGCCAAGCAAATAGGTTCATTGCCCCCGATGCTACAGACAGAAAAGAGGTTACAAGCGTTACACCCTCTCAACTCTTCCCTCGTTCTCGCTCTGCACTGTAATGGTATCGTATGTTACTCTCGTTAGACCCATCACTTGTGAACTAGAGTTGGCCTCACCAGGTGTGTGCATCGCCATTTAACTCACCTATGAATTATAAGTTACTTTTTCAGGTGACGAAACGTCTTGATGACGATGGATCCACTTTCGGAGGATGGCAAAAATGGGACTGGATGTCGATTGGCGACAGTTTCGCGAGTGGAGCTTTTTTTGTTGGATCTGGAGTGCAGAATGCATCATCAGCTGTCGACGACAGAGCTCGCAGCTTCGTGCCTCGCCATGCCTCGTGGGCGCCAAGCATGACCGAGGATGCCGGTCCTCTCAGTTGAGTACCTGGAAGAGCTTGCTAGAAAATGAAATACAGACTCTTGGCACAAACCTTGGTCAGGAGATTTGATACGCATGATGCCAAGGCATATCATGAATTGTTGTCGGGATTAATCATCGCCGAACTTCTCTTCAGAACTTCGATAACGGTAGTTGTCGTCGAGGTTGTGTTTGCTAGAGAAACGGAATGAATTCAAACAATGCACACACCGTGCGCTAGAGAAGGTTTGTTGCATTCAAACTGGCAATAAGCAGGCTTCCTTATTGTGTGATCAGGAACTTATACTTAATTCAAACTGCATGTGAAATACCGATGCACAATATGTCTTTATTTATTTTGAAATAATCAAACCATGTGTCTCATCTCTAATCACATCTTGAACATCCATTGCAGTGTAAATAGTTGATTTTTTAAGTAATTTAGTTGAGTTGGTTGTTAATCATTTAATTTAATACATGTAGTTTTTTTTGTTCATTTAAGAGAAATCACTTACAATATATATTGGATTTCATTATTTAATAGTATTGAGGTTTCAAATCATCTAAATCATAGAATGTAGAACCTTTACTAAATAAGGTTTTGATAATCTTATTATCACCAATATAAGTATTAGTAATAAAAAGGTGGAAATTCAGAGTATTTTACATTATGAAATTCAACTTGAAAATGCACTAGATATTTGACTATAAAAGGTATTTAACTTACCTTGAATTTCTTCTCGTAATCAAATATATATATATATATATATATATATATATGGTATTTAAAAACACTTGACTTAGCATTTGTAACCCTTTTAAAATCCTCAAATCAAACAATGGATATTAATCAATCAATCAATTTATATTTCTACATTGCCTTAGATAATTTTTAAGATTTTTTAGATACCTTTTATTTATTTCTAAGATAGTTGAATATGCTTTTCAATTCATGAATAAAGGCTTTATTAACATTCTTTAAGCTACTAACCATCTTAATTAATCATGAAACAACTTCTCAACAAAGCTTAAATAATCTTAAATAATCTTTATAAATTTCTAAAACAAACTTATCAACTCTTTATAAAATATTAATCCAACCCTATACAAATCCTCTATAAATCCTTAACTAATCCACCTCAACCCACTCCTAGACATATACCAATTAGACATACATCAAATGGTAATAATAAGACATTTTAAACAAGTGAATTTATCCCAAAATCAAAAGAGATAAAAAAATAAAAATAAAAAAAATAAAAACAAGTTATGGTACAAGTTTATTATATGCACTAAGCGGCCACACTAAAAAAGCAACCATAATGTAAAATAATGTGGTGTTAATATTGTCTTTTTATAAAAAAATAAAAACTTCTACTTACTTTGTAAGCTTGTAAATAAGGCAAAATAAAGTAGAGTAAGAAAATAATTAATATATACAACTTTAGGAAGAAATAAATAATAGTTTGTAGTAAAATTCACCTTAAGGTACCAATAATTGATACTTGGAGAAGATTGGTTGTGAACTAGGGTCAAAATTCGATCCCAAGGCACAAAATTGTGCATGTATGGCAATTAGGAGTTCTTTTGCTGATTGAAGAGAAAAATGTAAGAGCAAACTTTAGAAAGGTTGTTCTAAAATTAGTTTCAAGTGATTTGGATGTATGTTGTATTTTTTTAGAGCTTTTTAAAATGAGAGATATATTCAAAGGTTTCAGATTTTTAGAAATAAAACAAGATTCACATATTTGAGGTATTTGTGGATATGGTAGCAAATATTTAAGAGAAATTTTGTGAAATCTTTCTTGTGCTTGTCTTAATTTTATTTTACAAATTTGAAGTCAATTAAATGGTTAGATTGAAGGATATGGAAGTTTTATTGGATTTGGATCTTAGATATTTGAATTTTAGGATAAGTGAGGTTTTTTATGATCTTCAAAAATCCGCCAATTCAATTGAAGCAAAAATTTGTAAGAAAATTTTGGACTTGGATATCTACACTTTTTTATATTTAGAGAGAAATTGAATAGTTGGACGAGGAGCAATGAATGCTGATAGATCAACGTCCAAATTGAAAAAAGATGAAAACTGACACCCATGAGTTTTAGGATCTTTTTCTCTCAATTCATAACTTTAACTTTCTTCAAAATTTATATGGTTGTTATTTTCTTTAAGAATTTTTATGTTGATAAAATCATAGTTGAAATCAACGATTCAATTGATAGCTATTGGAATTTTAAAACAATTATAACAACTAGTTAGGATTAACTTAGAATTTACTTGAATTTGTTTAAGCTTTTGCTAAGATTGATTAGGACTTTATAAGTATTTTTTAAAGAATTTGGTTAATATTTTATTAGGATTTTATAATAATTTTTTAAGGATTTTTTCAGAATTTAGTTAGTGTTTTATTAGGATTTAATTATTTTTTATTAGGAATTTTATTCGATTTTTATTAGAATTTTTTTAGGAATTTTTTAAGACTACATTATAGTTTGATTAGAATTACTTAGGATTTTTATTTTTAATAAATTTATTTTAGTATTTCCTTATATTTTTTATTAAATTATTATATTTTTTATTTTTAGTATTTTTTTAGAATTTTTTATTTTTATTTTTATTTTAAAATTTAATTTATAATTATTTATATTTTTTATT